TTCGCGGCCGGGCGGCAGGAACTGCGCCGCCGGCAGCGCGGCGGGGATCCACCGAGGCGGTGGTGTCACCGTGTGAGACCCGCGCCGGGCGAAGGCACGCCGGAGCCTCCGCCGGGAGAGGGCGGGACGCAGCTCCTGCACACCCGGCACCCCGGCGATACCCTTCGCTGTGGTCCTTAGTACGCCGCCGCTGCAGGATGGAGGATGGAGGCGGGGAGGACTCGGGTCGCCGCGTTTAGGTTCTCGCTGGCGCCCAGCGGGGCTCCCTACCTCAACAGCCTCAGCGAAAAGCAACACGGGAGTTTTGTAGTTTTCTAGATGCTTCTAGAGATTGAGTGATGGCGACGGATTTCTGAGCCTAGGGTTCGCAGCTGTCAGCTCACTCTCGCCAGGTCGCATACCTGTGACAATTTACATGTCTTTCCAGGAGAACCAATTCCGATTAGCCTCACCTGCCTGCAGATAGCCAGCTCAACTGTTTCTTTGTGATGCCTTCCGGGAATTTTCCCAGGCTCTTTGGAGTCCTGTGTCTTGATACCCTCTATATGGGACTGGGCCATCTGTACTCTTGGAAAGTCTTGAAAGCAAATGTTCAGACATCTGGACTGGACAATTTCATAATTACCAGTGTTTTCTAAGGGCTACTTTCATAATTAGGTGTTCAGTTAGTGTGTATGGGGGGGGGGCATCTTTCTGGACCATTCCAAGGCTCATTTTATTAATTCCAAGTACCTGGCCGATGTGGGTCATGATGGAGAAAACAACAACAACAACAACAACAACAAAAAACGATTAGCTGACCTGTGATTATCTAAGGGCAGTGTTAGCGTTTAGAGAAACTGGTTGAATTCTGGGGCTACGTGTCGGCCCTGCAGAGCAGGGATAAGTGATAATACTGTCCAGTTCTTCAATTGCCCAATATTTTCATACCTATGAGTAGAAATTAATGAAATGAAAGAGCACATTGAAAGCAAAGACTAAAGGTGACTGTGTCAGGCGAATGGGTGGCATGAGAGAATGCATCTGGAATTGGTTTTTAGCATAAAAAGCATACAGAGGGTGAATGTAGGATCCACAAAGTCACATCAGGGATCCAGTATCCTCTTTGGTCTGCTCAGCAACTCAGGGAAGTCTTGTTACTTCCCTGCCTTAATGATTGTAGGATACAGTGGTAGCAAAGGAGGTGGGGGCACACCGTGCTGTGGTGTGTGTATCACATAACTATATGAACACAACATGTTCAGTTCTGTTAGTGTTCCTATCACGTGACCTCAGAGCTGACATTTTGGTATTGAATAACCTGTTAGGGGTTCATCTCTGGGAAGGACTTCCTCTTCCTCTCAGCATTCCTGTAGTTCATTGTCTAGGGGTGGGGATATTTGATATCTTGAACAATGGATGATTTATTTAGATGCTTATTATCTGTGAAATTAATGGATGATGATCTCGTTATCCCCCTTTGGTTCTTCCTCTAGATCTTAAGGTTTCAAAAATGTATAAAGAGGACTGTCAAGATGGCTTAACTGGTAAAGGTGACTGCTTCATAGCTTGACGACCTGAGTTCGAGCCTCAGGATCCACCGATATGGAAGGAGAGAACCAACCCCTACAAGTTATCCTCTGACTTCCACATGCTCCATGTGATCCTCATGTACACATGTAGACAGAGAAATGTAATAACATCACATATATACAATAGATAAAAAATCATTTTCAAATAATTTATTTTAAACTTTAATATAAAAATCATTTCTTTTTTTTTAGACATCACTTGTACTTCAAAGACTGTCATGTCAGAACAGCACAAGTTGGATACTTTACCAAGAAGGAATATTTTTTTCTGAAATAATTGAGTTTAAAATAGCTATTATGCTTTGAACTATTGCTTGATCCTTGTCAGTTATGGTTTTCCTCACAAATTCTTTACTTCTAGAGACTGTTTTCAGTAAGTAGAATTGTACATTTGAGTAGTGCCTTGCTGGATATTTCAGTGTGCATATTAGTTCAAGCAGCTGTGAGGCAGAGAAGTGTAGCTCGAATTCTAGTTGGTCTTAATAATAAAAGCCCAGAGTCAGATATAGGGGTTAGTGCTGAAGTTCAGAGAAGCAGAGAGGCCAGACACTGAAGAGTTCTTTTACCTGTACCAATGCTTAGACAGAAGGGCGATCCTGTCCTCAGACTGCGTCTGTCTCCACCAAACCTCAGACTGCCCTGAGCTCCCTCCCCTGTCTCCTCCCACCTTATATTCCCCTCACCACCCAGCCATGTCACTCCATCACTCCCTCTCCACCTCCCTAGTGCTGGGATTAAAGGTGTGTAATCTCAAATGCTGGGGGTCACCTTTAAACTCTTTCTCTTTTAGATAGATTAAATCTTGTTTAGCCCAGGGTGGCCTTGAACTAACAGAGCCCTGACTGCCTCTCTCTCCCCGGATTCCTGGAATTAAAGATGTGTGCCTCCACTCCCTGGTCTCTAGTGGCTTATTAGCTCTTCAGCTTTATTTGTTAAAACATAGACAAAATATCACTACAGGGAAGCCATACTTAGAAGCAAGCATGGTCTTCTCTTTGTCTTCAGGTGTGAATTTGAGTCCTAAGAGACAGAGAGCAAACCCTCCTCTCATCTGGTCAATTACTGGAAGAGCTGGGGATCAGATCCTCCAACTGTTAGTAACTGGAATTACTCTTTATATTTGTATTTTGTTATGAACTCGTGCATTTGGAATATTTTCAGAAGATGGAGGAATGTTCATTTCTATCCCTCTGTCAGAGAGGACAGTATTATTTAGTACAGTGGCTGCGAGGCTTGCAAATGATCCGCTGACTGCAGTGCCCAGAATCCTGCAAGAACTTTGCAAATAATGCTGTCTACTATTATACTTTTTCCAGAATTATAGGGTTTTGTAATTATGGTTATGAGATTTGTTTGTATGTGTAGGCTCTCACTGCGTAGTTCAGGCTGGGCCTGGAACTAAAAGCTCTTCCTGCCTCTGTCTTTCAAGTGCTGGGATTAGAGGTGTGTGCTGTTGGCACCCAGAAGTGCTGGTTAAACCCACCACCTACTGTGACTGCAATTTCCTTTCTTCCTCAAGTGAGCCGGCTTTGTTTGCCTCAGCCATGCACAGACAGCTTTGAAATAAGGGCGCTCAAATACAAGGCCGCCTTAGAGTTCATGTTTCAATTTTTTTTTATTATAGCGGTATCATTTACTTTGGTAAATTCATATTCCGATTTTAAAATGCTTTGAAGCAAACAAAACTCATTTACAAATTCAAGTACTGCATGTTATACACACAATAGCTGCATAGTGGAATTTCTCTAGCAAGCTGTTAATTCACAATGCCCAGTACTAACAGTACGGCAGTAGATTACACTAAATGTATCGCTTTGCCACAATCGTTGTATAGCACGGTAACCAGTACAACAGCTTATATGATTGCACGTCAAAGCTTTAATAAAGTTGTAGCATTTGATGATGAATGAAATTTTCCCTTTTTTTCCCCTGAGGTCCAGACCCAGTGCCACCCTGCTATGCCTCTAGCCCAAAAGATACATTTTTATGTATAGGATGCAATTATAGTTCAGATGCTTATGCAAGAATAAGCAGTGAATATGCTGTCGTATCCTTGATAAAACCACATCATTCCTTTCTACTAAATAGAGTGAGTCAGGCTAAAAGTAACCTGAGGTAATAGAAAGAAAAAGATATGTTAAATCCCTATATTATATTAAAAGTTACTTAACATTGCTTTGTGGCTAAAGCATATTTACTGGTCAAAATATATACATATATGTACACACATGTGGAGAGAAGGGGGGATAGGGAGGGGATTGATTTTGAAGGCTGCACTAAAATGCTAGCATAGCTGTAGCCCTTATGATTCTTCAGCTGGAAGCAGTAGTTTGTATTCCTTTTGTTGTTTCGGGGGTGGGAGGGGAAGCCTATAACCATCTAGTGTCTTAAAACGGTATTTATTATTTAAGGTCTCCAATATACCTGCTTTAAACAAATTATGTTGTTTTTTAAAAAATGTTGCAACTCTTCAGGGTTTCTCTGTGGCTTTGGAGCCTGTTCTGGAACTAGCTCTTGTAGACCAGGCTGGCCTCGAACTCACAGAGATCCGCTGGCCTCGAACTCACAGAGATCTATGTGCCTCTGCCTCCCGAGTGCTGGGATTAAAGGCGTGCGCCACCAACGCCTGACTTTTCTTCACTTATTCATAAATATGTTTTACACCTTTATTTATTACAGTTTGAACAATTGAGAACAAGTCCCGCAGACACTCTTGGCTAGCAATGCTATGCTGCTACTTCACAGAAATGACTGTAAGAACTCTTTCTCCTAGTTCAGAGAGGACCTTCTCTAAGGCCTATAGCCAGTGCTACTAACATGGCGTTTTGGATGGAAGAGTTCAGATGATGAGCAGCTGGATGTCCTAGTAACTAATCACCTTTTTTTTTTTTCACTAATCACCTTTCCAATTAGCTTTAAAATGTTTGTGCAGCTCATGTGTGTGTGTGTGTGTGTGTGTGTGTGTGTGTGTGTGTGTGTAAGGATACAACTTTTACAGTTCTTTCAACGAAATGACTCTCCTTCAAATCAGATACTGATTCTAAGAGAATCAGAATAGCGCACCCCAATTTTATTAATCATCAAAATAGCCTTGAGGTGTGCTCTATACTTCATCCTGAATTGCTCGCAGACAGACCACTTCTCAATTCCCAGGGTTCAGATGATTGTCTCAAAAGGAAAAATCCTAAAAGAGTATGGAGTGCCCTCCATACACGTTTGTTCCTACCTGCTGTCTTTTTAGAAGAAAAAACACTTTAGGTTCTGCGGTCCTGAAACCATGGAGAGTAACTCAGTGTAACTCTTCAGTATCCAGACAAGCTGTTGTATTATCCTGAGGATGTTCAGCCATTGAGGAAAATTACAGACTTAACCAAGTCACCTTATCCTTCAAGTGTCTGATAAAACTCAGCAGGATAAAGACTATTTGAATGACAAATAAAACAGAAACCACACTGAATTTCTGATTTAAGCACTCCCCTTCTCAGAAAATATGCTCATCTTTGGAGTCCTAGCAACTTTACCTCTTATTATATGGGTTCTCTGAAGAGATCCACAGCCCACAACATCTTAACATTATCCAGACACATGGAATAACTTACATTCAGGGCTGGGCATCGGCATGGCCACCCTAGGTCCATCCTAGTCACTGATAGACACTCTCTCTGGGTTAGTTGGTGGCTGGCGGGGGCTTGATGGAGGGGATGCTACATGATCTTCTCATGGTGAGCCTGACTTCAATGTCTGGCAGATGATCCTGTCTGCTCCGTAAGCAGCCTTCATCAGTGGCTGCTAAGTGGAGGTCAAATCGAAGAGAAACAGACTTTTTCCTCAGTCGGGGGTTATCTTTAAAGAACGAACCTTCCCACTCTTTTATAACTTCATCCACTTTCTCTGTCCTAAAATGAGAAAATAAAAACTTTTTTTTAATAGAAGAGATAGAGACAATGCATAGTTCATATTTATGAATAGAAATGTGTGTCATGCATAGGTTGCGAGATTTTAACAGTTTAGATTTGTTTATGTGTATGTTTTGTCTGCATGTATGTGTACTGAGTGGTACATGCCTGGTGCCCATGGAGGTCAGATTCCCTGGAACTGGAGTAGCGAATGGTTGAGAGCCACCATCTTTACCACAGCCTTCTCTCCACACCAGGTTATGAAATTTTTAATTGACACATACAACTTTAACAACCACAAAATATAATCTTTAATATGGAATTCTGTGGAATTTCTGCACAATTATTTTTCCTTTTTTGAGACAGGGTCTTGCTGCATAGCCCTTACTGTTCTAGAGCTCACTCTGTAGACCAGGCAGGCCTTGAACTCACAGAGATCCACCTGCCTCTTCCTCCCAGATGCTGAGATTCTACACAATTTTTGTGTTCTGATTTTAGTCTTAAAAAAAAATGAATTCTTTTCACACTCTTGTCTGTGTTGTTCTGTGTGTCTATTCATGTCTGCCTGAAAAATCACAGTATATTGAAAGTATTTGAAAGGCTGCTGAAGTGAATGTCATCATTTTTAGCACAGCTTCATAGTCCAAGCTGTTTTACTTACTGAATGGTGCCGCAAGCTTCCGCGCTCTCCTTTACGACGTTTCCATTTAACATTGCCTGTTTGGTCATGGTCTCCCCATTTTCACTCTCATACTTTTGTGAGACTTTCGTTGAAAAAGATATTTCATTTATAATGGCTGTGAAAATGTTACATTAAATTACAACGTTGGAAAAGAAAAGGGAAATAAAGTGGGGGTGGGAAATCACAACATTGAAGTACGGAAATTCCTTCTCTTGCTGCTTTGGAGAATTTTCTGTATAATCTCCACAAATAACATGCCGGTTTTCAAATTAGTCCATAGTGTCGAAAACTCACCTGAGGGCAGAAGAAAGCCAACTTTACTCCTGGCAGGTTTTTCTTCTTTTTTCTCTCCTTGGATACAACCATAATATCTGAAACGGAAAGAGTCATGGAAACAACACTGCAGTAGTAAAAGACAAAAACAAAAAGAAAATAGACAAGAGAATGGGTAAGTTGTTACGCTCACACAATGGAAATACTTCTTCAGCAGTGATGAGCGAGGCCATGCAGTGTCTTTGTCAGTGAGCCTTCCAGGCACAAGGAAGAGTGGAGGGACACTAGGAGCTAGTTTTATAAAGGTTAAGACAATACACAGACCGATTTTCTACATTGTATAGATAGGCATTTATATTACCAAAAGAGCTGTGTGAGACTACTAAATATCAAATTCGGAACCAGCAGGGTGGGTGTGGGTTAAGGTTGGGTAGGAGGTGAGGGGCAAAGGGGCTGTGTTTAAATTCACAGAAAATAAAACATCTTAGACTGAAGAGACTAGAAGTCTCTAACATGTAGGACCTCAAAAGCCATAGGAATACAACTCTACTACTTAATAACATTGTTCATTATATTTTCTGTTTTTTGTGTAATAACACTGTTCATTTGCATCTGCCTGTATTTATATCAAATATAATAATACAAATTTAGAAAATCATTAAAATGTTAAAAGCCAATCTGTCAATATCTCAAATGATTAGAAATTGCCATCTATGATCATTGTTTAATAATGTATTACATTCACACCATATATAAAATCATATATTTTTTACAAAGCACAATGTGCTAGGTAGTGCTTTAAGCACTTTACAGATGTTAGCTCATTAGATCCTACAGTAATCTTGTGATGTAGATACTATTATTCTCACTTTGCTGAGGAGAAGCACAGAGAGGTTAAGTAACTTGTCCAAGGTCACTCAGCTAGTAAGTGGTATATTTTGAATTCAGTTTATGATTTTGAAGGATTTAAGAAATGCCAAGGCTTATCACAGGCTAAACTTATTCCATCTCGTTTTGCAGAAGACTCAGAATTCTGAAACAAGCAAGAAAAAAGATTTATTGTCATGGGATTATAGAGACATGGAGGTAATGCCATGTTCAAGGGTCTAAGGCCTTATAAATGGTTGTAAAATACAATATTGAATAAATAAGAATTCCCCTTTAACTTTTTTTTTTTTTTTTTTTTTTTTTTTTAATCTCAGGGTACCTGAAGCCATTTAAATACGGCTCGGGACAGTAATGGTTTCCCTGCTTTAGCAGAATCACATTATTACTCTTTTTCATTTTTTGAGAAGGTCTCTTGTAACTCAAACTGGCCTCCAACTTGCTATAGAGCTGAGGATGACCTTGAACCTCCTAATGTCCTGATCCTCCTACTGATGGGATTACAGGCATGCATGCCTGGATTATGTGACACTGGGGAACAAACTCAGGGTTTCATACAGCCTGGGCAAGCCCTCTCCGCTAGCTGAGTCCCACCCCCTAACTATAGTAATATTATTTTGGCGTCACTGTGGGGTGGGGGTGGGAACTTAGGGGCCAGGTTGTGAGTCACCAAACTCTTTGGGAGTGATCTATGAAATGCAGACTAGTTCTAAGAGAGAGAAGCAATGGAGAAAGTGGGAAGGCCAAGAAAAACCACCTTAGTGAACAAGAGTTGTACCAACCAACTCTGGCTATGAATGTGCTGGTTTGAGCAGGCTGGACATAGTTCTTCATGCTACCTGGTGGGTGCGCTAATCCCACTTTGCATAGGAGCTCAGTGAGTGAACAGCGGTGGTGGCAGTGGGCTTTATTTTGGATTTGGTTTCTCTGATGGCATCAACAGTGGCTCTGTGAATGTGGCCCCATGCCACCTGTGCCGTTAGCGATGTGGACTTAGGTACCTGAGCTCTTCCTGTTCTAGTAGGCGGCGGTAGGTGGCTATTTCCTGCTCCAGGCGCATCTTCGTGTTGAGAAGCAACTCGTGCTCCTGAAGCTGCTTCTCGATGCCACACCTCACTTCCTGCAGCTCCTTCTCCAATCTGTCAACCACCGACTCCAGGTCTTGCAGCTGCATCTGGTAATGCTGCTCACTGGCCTGAAGAGAGTTTTCAAGGCCCCTTTCCTGTTGACAGACATCATCAGCAGTGAACCAGGGACACAGATGGGCTTCTGAAGCCTGCGTTCCCTGTTCCATTCTGTCTGTCTATGTATCCATCCATCCATCATCTATCTATTCTTATTTGTGGTTTTGGCATTAGCAGTCAAAGCCAGGGACTTGAACAGGATAGGCACCGAGTCACACCTGGAGTACCACTTTTTTTTTTATTTGAAGGGTTATAAGTTGTGTTTTGCTTATGCAAGAGGACTTTTTTTTTTTGCTATTTGAATTATTATTTATTTATTTATTTTTAAACTGTGGAGGCCCAAAGAGACCAAAGGTCAGAGAGTTTGGGACTTGTTTTTAGTTCACTTGAGATTATTGTGCTTCCGAACTCAGAGTTCTGCTACGGCTATTGTCAACAGGTGTGGCTAGTTGCCAGACCTGGGCCCCTGAAATAGGGAAGTAGTTGGTTCCTACCTAAAACAAAAGTCTAAGGCTCCAACTAAGTTCCAGTTCCCTTTATGGAAATAACTTGGGATTCCACCCAGGGAGTGGTTTCCCTCAGAGTGATTGGTCTAGGGCTCGAGTCAAAGGCACGGGTAATGAATGTACCCCATGACTTTCAAGTTGTATGTTAATGCAGTCCTTTTGCTCTGCTCCTACCTTTTGTAGTCAGGGGTATAGTAACCAGTTGGAAATTAAACACAGACGAATTTTCAGTACTCGCTGAAATTCCCTCCCGATACTATCCTATATATTTCTTTTTTAAAAAATATTTATTTATTTATTTTGTCTACAATATTCTTTCTGTGTGTATGCCTACAGGTCAGAAGAGGGCACCAGACCTCATTACAGATGGTTGTGAGCCACCATGTGGTTGCTGGGAATTGAACTCAGGACCTTTGGAAGAGCAGGCAATGCTCTTAACCTCTGAGCCATCTCTCCAGCCCCATATCCTATATATTTCTGTGTTTTATTATTTTTGTTCGCGTCTTCATATTCTTTACTGTATTTCTAAATTCCCACGCCTCCCCTCTGGAAGAAAGGTATTTTTGTCAAGACTGGCCCATGACATTTAACATTTATTTTGTGCAAGTAAATGTATGCATGTGGAAGTCAGAGGAGAGCTTTCAGGAATTGTTTTTCTAGTTCCATCATGTGAGTTTGGGAGATCAAACTCAGGGTATCAGGCTTTGTGGCAAGCACTTTTACCTGCCGAGCCATCTTGCTGGCCCCCTTCCTGCTGTTTGAGACAAGGTCTCATGATGTGGCCCAGGCTGGTCTTGAACTTGGAGTTACTGGTGTGTGTGTGTGTGTAAGGAGGCCTAGTTCATTCTGAAGTTCAATTTGACCTAGCACTAAAGGCAATCCTTCTTCCTTAGCCTCTGAAGTGCTGAGATTATAGACATGAGCCATTGTACCTGTCTTTCTTTTTTTTTCCCCCAAAGGAAAATTATATTTAGCGACTGAGCATAATGGCACTCACTTGTAATCATAGCTACTCGGGAAGTGGAGGCAGGAGGAGCACCAGTTCAAGGCCCACTTAGCAACTTTGTGAGATGGTATCTCAACAATAACAACAACAACAACAACAACAACAAGGAGCAGGGGCTGAGGATGCGGCTCAGTTTTTAAAATATACATAACTAGATAGCTTTCTGTATTTCCAAATAGTGTTGTAATATTTCCTCTGGCAAGAAAAAGTTTACATTGTGATTTACGTACTGTCATTCTGAATTATTGGATTTTGTAAATTATTGAAAATATAATGAATATCAAAGGTGAAACAGACTGCTTATAAAAGTCATGCTAGGGGACAGTGAGATGGCTCAGTGGACAGAGGTATCGTCTCAACCTGAGTTTAAAACCCTGGCCCCACGTGGTGGGAAGCATGAACTGGCTTTCACATGTGCACACACAGAAACAAACAAACGTAATAGGAAAAGGCATGTTAGGAAAGAGCGTTAAGTATTTTCCCATTAGAAATCTCAATGACACCAATGCAAGAAGCCAGGTTTTGGAAGGCTATAGATAATAGCAGCACACGATCCATTTTTTTTTTTCCTATCAACGGTCAGGGAGCCCCAGAGCAATGAGAAGTAAAACTGAATTTTTCTAGGTGTAAACTGAACCTCCAGTGAGCTGCTCACAGCCACTGGGCAGGAGAGAGCGAGGCTCTGGGCCAGTGCTCAGCGGCCTCCACTGCAGAGTGACGGTGTCTTCTTTTCCTCTCTCTGTTATACATGATGCTCAGCCAGCAAGCTTCTTTCCCAAGGCCCCTCCTCTCCCTAAATCACATAGCCTCTGGGGTGCAGCGAGCCAGTTTCTGGTGATCTTCCTTACCACGGCGTGGAGAGACTCGATTTCCACCTGCAGGTGGTGGCACTGGCGGCGGGCCTCCTTGAGTTCGGCCTGAGCTGCCTTCAGAGCCTCCTCATCCTTGTCCATTCTCTTGGTTATGTCTTCCTCTAGCTGTAAGAGAGTCAGCAATGGCAACAGCAAATAATGACAACAAGAGCAAGAAAACAAAACCCAAGAGGAACAAAAATCCCAAAGGGCATTCGTGAGAGGGAGGTGCTTAAAAGCCGCCGTAGAACAATTGTACAGGGATTGAATCGCATCTTCTTTCCACTATTAGATTACAGGTGTGTGCTCCAGTGTTTCATTACTGATTAATCAAATCCCCGAGCCAGTCAATTATGTTCCCAGCCCCAATCTCCTCTGCTGTAAAATGATCTGAAAAGTCCTTTCCCACTATGGCAGCCTGTGACATACAGAGAAACACATCTGCTTTAACGAAGAGAAAGTTTTCGAGACAATTTTGTGACCTCTGATTCTTTTACATTCCCTTATCTGTCGATAATGAAGATCGAGGGAAATTCAGTGACTATTTTCCAACTTTTTTTTTTTTTTTAGGCTGCTTCATAAGGCAGATACACAGCTGTATATTCCCAAGCGATCAATTCCGCAATTCTGGATGGACGGACTGGGAGGAAACACCACTAGAAAACGTATTACTATGCTAGGAAATTGGAAAATCAAGTTGTCGTGGGTGTCAAGGTTCTTGAATAAAGTTCTGTGTTGCAAAAACCTTCTTACTTTTTTTCAAAAGATCTTTTTGTTTGTTCGTTTTTGTTTTTTCGAGACAGGGTTTCCCACTGGGACCCAGGCTTGCTGATGAGGCTAGAATGGCTGGCTAGTGAGCCCAGGGATCTGCATGCCTGTCTCCAGATCACATTGCTGGAACTACACGTGCATACCACCGTGTTTCCCTTTTATATGTGGGTCCTGCGGGTCAGAATCTGGTCCTCAAACTCCCACAGTAAAGCTAGCTGAGCTATCCTCTAAGTCTCCCAAAAATACATCTGAAAGATTATTTTCTAAATATTCTCCTATTATAAAAACACTTAGGGGAAGGTGTGTAGCTCAGTGGTAAAATGCCTGCCTGGGCAGGCATGGGGTGGAGGGGGGACGGGAAACTGGGTATTCTCTGTTTTGCTTGAAATGTTTACATGCTGGTGGAATTTAAAGAAAACACCAGTTAACAACATTATCAACATTTGACCTCATTAGGAGCAATGTGTTGAGTTGATATGAAGTTAAAAAAAAGACAACATTTTAATGTTCTTTTAAATTTGTAAATTTGGTTATATGGTAGATTTTGTTTAAGGGAAGCCAGAGTCAGTAAAAATCTGTGTGAATCAAGTTTAGGGCAAGAGATTAGAGGAAAGGACTGGAGAGCTGGCTCGGTAACTAATTGCTTGTCATGAAAACCTACAGGCAGGAGTTCGTATCCCCAGAACCTATGTAAATACTGGGTAAGTACAGAAAGCCTGCCTGGAATTCCAGCTTTGGAAGGTGGGATAGGAAATTTCAAGTCTGAACATATCGGTGAGCTCTGGACTTGACTGAGAAACCCGGCCTCAACTAACAAAGAGGAAGAAAGATGGAGGACCATTTTTGAGATCAACCGTGGTTCCCTACCAACATACAGACCAACATGCATGTGAATCTTGCACAGTTCACCCACACATATGCAAACATGCACACACATACACACAATCACCCCTTCCCCTAACCAAAAAAGGGAAAAAGAAAGATACTGGAGGGGAATTTTTTTTTCTTTCTCTTGTCAGTGTTAACTTGGCAAAGTCAAGCAGCCAACAACAACTACAGGAACAACTATAAAAAAGAATGAAAATACTTTTGGAAATGACATAAAGTTGTGGGGACCACTGGTCATTTGAATTCCCAGTAGGAAACTTGTAGGTAAACTGTATCTTAGCTAGATTCCCAAGATAGTCCCCAGTGAATCACCCCTTCCCAAGTTCATGTCCTGAGTCTTGCTGTGATCAGTTGGGTATGGTAGAGGTGATGCTCTGCCCATTCTAGGCTATGCCTTAAGAAAGCCTGGAAGCTTCCACATTATGTTTTTGGGAGCCCTGGGTCATCATTGTAGAAGAAATCTGGATACCCAGTGAGAGAGGGTCCTGTTAGGAAGCTAGGTGGAGAGGGACCCGAGACTATGTGGAGAGGGAAGCTGGCGCAGGTGTTCCAAGTCAGCCTTTCAGCAAACCACTGCCAAGGTTCCAAACACATTAGCCAATCATTTGGATTTGCCAGACAGTAGGACCTGAGGTGACTGCATCCTATTCTGCATCTCAGATAGCACCAGGGTCTCCACAGCCCAGGCTGCTCCTCATCCCACAGAAGTACAAGCCAGGATACAACAGCCTAAAATTTTAACCCATTGAGTTTTTGGGGTAACTTTTTAGTGCAGCAACTAGATGCTTATTTTGTTTGACTTATTTACCTCTTGGTGCTAAGGTTTGAACTCAGGGCTTTGCAATATGTTGTGGTAATAAAATAAACTGGCTTTGTGAATTACTTGGGGAAAGCATTTCTCTCAAAACCTGTATGTTATCAGATGCTGCAAACAGAACTCGCGAGAGTTTTTGCTGTTTTTCTTCGTAGTCACCCGGTTCAGCATGGGGACTTGTAAATGAAGCTTAGATTTCTACTTGGTAAAATAAAGTATTCATTTGGTTTATCATTGCCAAAAGTCATCACCTCTTAATATTTTCCCCTATCATATGGAGGCGAACAAACTTCTCCAGCATCTAAACAAACAGCCCAGTGACCTTATTTAATCCAGGGAACTGGTCATTCTTTTTGAACACTGAAAATATTACCCACAAGCAAAATTTACAATGATCTTCCAGTTGCTAATAGAATGAAGTCCTGTGATTTCTTGCTAACAGTTTATATATATATATATATATTTTATTTATATATATATATATATATACATACCCATGTATACATCTATCTATCTATTATATTTTGAATCGAGCCTTGGTCTGAGTTGACTCTGTTTCATTCATCTATTTTAAATATCTTGCATTTATATCAGAAGTAAACTGTTCTCACAGTCCAGATGCAACAATGGGTACTTTTCAGTGTCGAGTCATTACCCAGCTGGGAATTTTGATTGTTAGAATTTGTCTCTTTGATTCTGAAACCCGCGTTCACACACTCAGATGATTCTATTTATAGCAATAGCAATCAGCAGAAAGCTGAGTGCACAGGAAAGATGATAGAAACCTTTCAAAAAATATTTTACTTGTTTTTATCTCCTCCTCAGAATGTGCAGGCAAACAATCTTGACTATCGAGCTTCCATTATACAGATGTTTTAAATCGCTTCTATAATTAACTCCATAATATCTTTGAAGAGTGTTTGGAATGCGTCTTTCCAGAAAAATCTAAAGAGGTCGGAGTGCACCATGTTATTGTGTGTTGACCCCGTGCTTTAGTAATGACGGTCCGTCACCTTATGATCTACATAAAATCCCAATTCATCGATCAATATTTATTGAATGGTCATTCAGCAGCACAGCCACGGGGTTTATCCCTGTCTGCCACCCCAGACCCAGTGCAGAAACACCTACATTGCCTCCCCAGTAGATGCTGCGTGGAAAAGAAATACTGTACCTCAGAGAGGCCGGGACAGGACTCGGGGAGACATGGACTGTCTCCTTATCCTGAAGGTGCCTGGCTGAATGAAATCATTACCTGCATCCGTGTTGACAGCACCGTCTCTATCTGATTTCTGGTGAGAAGCTGTTCATAGTTTGCCCTGATCTCATTGAGGAGCTGGGACAGCTCCATTCTTTTCCCATCCTCCACCTTGGCTAACTGGACCTTAGCGATGAGAGGAGTCGCTGCGGCAGAGCCTGCCCTGCCTGCGTCGCCGGAGCAGACAGCCCCGCGGAGCCTTAAAGATGCAGAGATCCATTTCCCCACCAGAAGCAGGGAAACTCAGGCGGCTAGTCAGTTATGCAAATGTGGGAAACTGTTCGCGCTCATTGTCGTCGGTACAGCAGAAACCTCAGAATCTCCAGGGAAGAGAAGAAAATGACACCCACAGGTCACTGCTAGGGTCCTCTACACATGTGAACGCTTGGCCTGTCGGGGGCGGGGCGTTCTATTATTTTGTGGTAGGGAATGGGTCACGACATTAAAAACACTGTCACGGTGGTCAGGCTACTCAGGACTCAGTCAGAAAGATCTTGGATTCAAGCCCAGTCAGGACTTCATAAGAGGCCCTCTCTTGGGAAGGGGTGGGGAGAAAACAAAACACCAAAAATCCAAACCATCACACACACACACACACACACACACACACACACACACACACAAACCCTCTAAAAAAAACAAACAAAAACCAAAAACAAAACTAACCAACCAACCAACCAACCAAAAAACCAACCAACAACAACAAAAACAAAATTTGGGAGGCAGAGGCAAGCAGATCTCTGTGAGTTCCAGGCCAGCTGGTCTCCAACAGCTGGTTCCAGGACAGGCCCAAAACTATAGAGAAACCCTGTCTCAAAAACAAAACAAAACAAACAAACAAAAACCCCACACACCAAATTTTATTGTGTATAGATTTTGTGTGGGCATTAAACTGGGCTCCAAATACAATAGTTTAAAATTTTCTTTATAGCTATTTTTTAAAAATCCGCATTTGGACTTTTTTTTTTTTTAACAAAATGCAAAAGGAGAGGGGAGGAGGAGGAGGAGGAGGAAAACAGGATTAAAAAACCCAGGTGACCAGAAACAGACTGGAGCCTGTTCCAGGGGAGGAAGCGAATCAGCAGGAGGGCAAGGTTGTGGGAACTGGCGGAGGGGTTGGAACACAAAGGACAGTGAGACACGTGGACGAAAACGCTGCGATGGGGCCCTTAACTTCGTACGCTAACTTAAAACGTTAGTGAAGAAAACCCAAATGGTGTGGTAAGCCACCTGAACGTGTTATCTGTCTCAAGCATCTGACAGCTGTTGGAAAAAGCCACTAGTTGTATTTCTCAATCGGTGGGGGACTGCCAGCCCCAGAGCAGAGTCGGGTGGATGGAAGGGAACTCCTGAAGTCAGGAGTGGGGGGGGGGGCGCGGCGCTGGAGCAGTATGGAGGTCGTCGGTTAGTGAATACTGCTAGTGTTGTGGAAGCGAGCCCTTGGTCCCTGTGGTGGGGCGCTCACTGAGGCTGATGTTTCTGTAAACATCTCACACTTAGAGACACGTCTTCAGCTCTTCCGATAACACTGTTGGGCCCAATCTTCTCAGTTCCTGACACTTTGTGACTGTGAAGACAGGACTATGGTCAGAGGGGTTAAGTGTCCTACCCAAGGTGGCTCACGGAAGGGACAACAGACACTGAGATAGGGACTTTGACCGCAAGCTGACTGCCCTGTCTGCTTCATTCCCTCCTCACCTGAATTTTTGTTCAAGATGGCGACCGTGTTAGATGCAACTGAAATATTTTTTGAGAACAGGCCTGTTGTTGTTTACAGAGTGGACGAGTCAGATCTTGGTTCTAAAACTCGCAGGGCCTTTGATGTGCCTCTTGTTTAAAAAGATGTGTGTGTGTGTGTGTGTGTGTGTGTGTGTGTGTGTGTGTGGCTTGCCATAGGCACAGGTGTGAAGGTCAGGGGATAACTTTCTGGAACAGTCTCTCTTCTTCCATAATGCGGTTCCAGGGATTGAACTCAGGTTGTCAGTCTTGACGGCCAGCGTCTTTACCAGCTCACCCATCCTGTGGACCCACCTCTTGCTCTTTTAAATTTCTGAGTTAACTTACTTGTAATGAAGTACGTTTTTTTATGTATGTGTGTGTATACATGTCTGTGCATGTGTCTGTGTGAACGTATGCATACATGCGTGTTAGGTACTTGAGGAGAGCAGAAGAGGGCTTTGGATCTGCTGGAGCTGGAGTTAGTGGTGCCACTGAGCTACCCAACATGGATCCTGGGACCCGAACTCTGGTCCTTATGCAATAAACAACAAGCTCTTAACCCCTGAACTCTCTCTCCAGCCCCCAAATTAAACTTGACTTAAATTCAGGAACCAAACATCAAATGCACCTTGTTATTTCAGGTAGCTCCTGCCCTGAACCTGGAGAGCTGATCTAGCTGCAAAAGGAGGTGGGTCCTGGCCGTCTTCCCTTTAAGCAGATCGCCCTTATTTCCTGTGCACCTAAGCCAGTGTCCTCTCAGAAAGACAAGGTGAACCACAAATGCAAGCTGCGTGTGTGGTTTCAAGTGCTCTAGTATTCGTATCAAAAGATACAAAAGAAACAGGTGAAATGAACTTAATAGCCTGTTTTGTTTAATCCCATATATTGAAAATATAATAATATAAAATATTTACATTCTTTGCTTTTGATACTGTCTTTGAACTCCAAGGGGCATGATATATCCCATTTCAGTTTGGGCAAGACACATTTAAAGTGTTTAATAGGAGCCTAAGTGACTCATCCGGTGACATGTGTCTTTGCATGAGGGTGAGAACCTGCGTTTGGATGTCCAGGATCTGCATTAAAAAAAAAAAGGGTGTAGTGACATGTGTTCATAACTCAGGCATTTCGGAGGCAAAACAGGCAGGTTCCTGGACCTCACTGTCCAGCCATCCTAACTAGATTCACGAGCTCCAGGTTCGATGACAGACCCTGCCTCAAAAATAAGAAGGTGAGGGATTGGAGAAGATACCCAACATCTGTCTCTGGCTTATATACACATGCACACCGTGTATAAGTCCACACACGCACACACATGTACATACACACCAATAGTGCTCAATAAGTTGGGGATATAGTTCATTTGTAGACAACTTGCCTACTCTGTGCAAGGTCCCAGCACCAGGGAAAAATAAAACTATGTGGCTCGTAGCTAGTGGGTTAGACAGTGCAAATTTAAAATTTGTTCCTCATGCACAGTAGGAAATGCTCTTCACATACTTACACATGCGTAGACAACAGCACCGGGTTTGCTCTGAGGGGTTAGAATTTACGCATCTATAAGCATGAGAGCGAGAAGGTTAGCCATTTCGGAAGATTAAAGGAAAGATGTAGCTACTTGAGAGAAATACTGCTCTTTATTAAGACAAGCAGTTGGGGCTGGTGAGATGGCTCAGTGGTTAAGAGCACTGACTGCTCCTCCAGAGGACCCGGGTTCAATTCCCAGCACCCACATGGCAGCTCGCAGCTGTCTGTAGCTCCAGTTCAAGAGAATCTGACATCGTTATACCAATGTGCATGAAATAAAGTTAAATAAAGTTTTAAAAATTAAAAAAAAAAAGACAAGCAGTTGCAGTAGCTCATCAAATGCCATTTGTGGGCTTCATGCGATCCTCGGAGCATTAGTTAGATGCTTCAGAATGCTGTAGAACACACGAGAATGGGTGCCTTTCTTACAGAGATGCTCTTAGGTTCACTCTCAAAGGTGCCCGGCCCTTGTGTTCGTTGAAGAATTCATGACAGCCAAGTTATGGGAACAAACTGTGTGGGTGGTGGAGTAGGATGTAGGAAAGTGAAGGTCAAAGGGCACAAAGTGGCCGGTGGGTAGGGTGACCAAGCCTAAGAGATCTATTTCTTATTTTTGGCTTTTATGAGAAAAAGTCTCTCTATGTATTCCTGGCTGTCCTGGAACTTGATTTGCAGACCAAGTTGGCCTTGAACTCACAGAGATTCGCCTGATTCTGCCTTTGGACTGCTGGGATTAAAGTTGTGTGTCACTGCTCCCAGCAAGCCTAGAGAGCTAATATACAGTTAACAAAATTATATGGCATGTGGAACTTTTATTGAATAAATAGAGTTTAGCTGCTCCTGTCATTAAAAGCATAACTGTGATGAAGTTAATATGAATATGAATAATAATGAAGTAGAACGTTCATTCTCTTCACTACAGAAATCCCTTTCCCACCTCTGTGTACACCACAGCATCATGTTTCAGACTTCAAATACAACTGTGTATTCATGTAAAATTCATGTAAAAAACAAACACCTGAAGAAAAGGAGGCATATCTTATTTTCAATAAGGTGCCACTATGCCTCCTTTTCTCCATTAAAATTAAGTTAGCCTGTTTTTTGATGACTTCATATGCACATTAATGCATTCTAATCACATTTCTTCCTACCCTTTTCAAAAAAGTTTTCTTTATTTTTTGTGTTAAGGTGTTTGCTTGCACATTAGCTGTGTACCATGTGCCTGCAGTGCCTGAAGAGGCCAGAAGAGGGAGTCTGAACCCCCTAGGACTAGAGTTGCAGGCTCTCTCGTCCCACATCTCCTTCTCACTCCTATCATTCCTCCCCAAAGTCCCACACAATCCCTTTCCAAGATCCATGACTTCCGGCTTTGTTTTGTGAATTATTTCATTTTACTACAGCCCTCTGTGTGAGCATCTGACCGGACCTACCCACTGGAGAACAGTGGAGTCATCAGTGGGTACACGCCTGAAAGCGATGACTCACCCTCTCCCTGAATCTGCTAGGAAATAGTTCAGCGCGATTGTCGATTGTCGATGGGCCTACTCTTGTACAGACACAGTGTGGGCATCTGAAGCCGCTTTGAGTTCATGATTGCCACGGCTGACCTTCTTATTCTTTGGCTCTTCCATTTTTCTTCCCCCCCCTCCCCGCACAATGATGTTCCTGGAGCCTTAGATGGAAGGCTACCCCTCTCACTCAGGGGTGAGTACTCATCTGTCCCCTGCCACTTTCTCTGCCCCTTCTGCACCCACGAGTCTCTGCATTCACCACCCCCCTCTAGAAAGAAGCCTTTTGTATAATTGTTAGTTTTTAAACTTGTTTTGAGACTGGGTCTCTTTTTTTTAATACTTATTTATTATGTATACAATATTCTGTCTGTGTATATGTCTGAAAGCCAGAAGAGGGCACCAGACCTCATTACAGGTGGCTGTGAGCCACCATGTGTTTGCTGGGAATTGAACTCAGGACCTTTGGAAGAGCAGGCAATGCTCTTAACCACTGAGCCATCTCTCCAGCCCCTTGAGACTGGATCTTATGTAGCCCAGG